AGAGAGAGAGAGAGAGAGAGAGAAAGAGAAAGAGAGAGAGAGAGAGAGCATTCTTTTTACATAATTGATTACTGTTGTCAGGAATCAAGAAATCATAAAATAAAATTTTTGTTAAATTTATATTTATATATATGTGTGTGTGTATACATATATAAAATATAATTTCTAAAGAATAAAAAAAAGATTTAAAAGAACAAAGAACAAAAAAATGTATAGATATTTGTTTATATAAAATTTCTGAAATTAATGTTTTGGTTAATAGTGGCGGAATTTATAATTTAAAAAACGCAACACATATGTTGAAAAAACTTAGATTGCAAATTTAATTAGAAATTGTTTTCGCTACGTGTAGATGGTATGATTATATTGGTGTTGGGTTACATGCTAAGTAATAGGAGATATCATATAACATAATTACGACAGATTCTCCAGAGATATGAGGTATATTAATATTATCGCCGTTAACGATCGTATTGTTCATCTTTCCGCGGACGCAAGTACGAGGAACTTACTTCGCGTATAATGAAAGCGAGGCGAAATTATTGTGATTGGATTACTTCAGACGAGATTGCGCCGCAATTGTCATCTTCGCTTACCGTTTCCCTCGCGAGCCAGCTCGCTAAGCGTCACGTCAGGCACATAGCGCATCTAACAATAAGTGACATAAACGTCGTCGTTAAATTATGTCAATCTACGTATTTATATCCGCCGTGAGAGTGGCAAAACGGAACGGTTGTCACATTCTTCTGACATTTATCATGTAGGATAGAGGATGTTGCGTATATAAGTGCTATCCTGTATTCTCCGTCTTACCATTCCGCGTGATTGAAGCGCGTTGACACTCGCTAATGACACTTCCATCTATCTCTTTCCGGCTATTACATGACTATACATTATTCTATATTAGATAACTAAGAGAATTCCTCTAAATATATTTATTTTCTCAGCAAATTTTTATATAAAACCTTATATTTAATTTTAAGATATATATATAATATAAACATCTTTGTTAATATAATTGTATAATAAAAGTAAATATGTAAAGTAAATATATAAGAAGATTCCGAACAATGTTTTCGTTAAATAGATATTAATGAATAAATTTGTAAATTACTTTTTATTTTAACTATAATCTTTTTAATAATGTCTAAATATATAAAAACGATTGAATTATTTAAAATCTTAAAGAATTAAAAATAAAACTTCAAATCTATATATTTTTATCGAGTAATTCCATTGTGCAATACACATTTTTTTATATTTACTAATTTATCACATTTCTCACTCTACGGTAAAGTACTATTTATGGCAATTACACAATTACGATGATACTTATGAATTCTCATAAAACACCGAGGTTGCGTATGATTGCAGAGATAACGCGTTATTAAACGATAGTAGCAATTGTCTCGCTCATCTTCTACCGGTAAAATGGAGAACAGCTATTTAGAAAGCAGCAGTGAAACTTTCACTAATAATCTACGACTTATGTTAACCACAAAACGGTAAATAAACCGTAATCTATAGTATTATGGTTTACTGAAACTGAGTCCAAGGTTACATCTCTCGTTATTGAAGTTTAAAGAGATGTCAGCATGAATAAAAATATAGCACAATATTTGTTTTTAATATTACTATATGAATTTAATCATTTTTATTTAATTACATATCAATACATCTATATAAAAGTAGGAAAATAGGTATACGTTGTGAATTAGGAAAGGATATTCTAAACGTTTAAATTTTTCGATATACATGGATTTTGCAACGGAAAGTTCAGCTATTATATACGAGTCGTGTAATAAAATATGATACATCTTGTCGATACAATGTTGAAAATAAATCATCGATCCAATTTACTTTCGTGATTATATCCACGCGCACTCGTGCTTCAAAAATTAGATAATATACTTAGCTACAGCCAATCATGTATAAGTTGTCTAGCGTGGTTTGATTTAACACTTGGCTCGACCCTTTCATTTTCAATGACTTTCACCTAAGCACTTATAATCTACTTTTACTCGCAAAATCAAACCGGATAATGCATATCCTTGTTTATTAAAATATCAATTTCGTAGTGCTATTTAATGTTTATTATATATTCAATCTGCCATAAAAATGTTGCATTTATTATTAACGACATTACGAAAGCGTGAAAATTTTGCGTTTGAAATGCTTTGCAGTGAAATTGACATTTCATTAAGATTATCTTTCAAGCGAAACTAACATCATACATGGTCATTATGCATATCGATGTTGATTAGATATGCAAGGTGACGAGTATAAAATTATATATATATATATAAGAGATATACACAACCTAATCTATATGAGATTTATTTAACCTTTTCAAAAACAATCCGTTTCAATAGAAAGACCAGTTAGATAGAATGACGTGGAATAATGAAAGCATCGTCGAAACGTGGAAAATTGCAATTAAGATCGCTATTTTTGTAACCCATCAACGTAAGTATCTTTTTAATCGAGAATCATTTGTGAGATATTGACACGCGTTAACGGAACAATCTCGCCTGTATTTATGAGCGCCTATTGCGATTTCACGACGGCACGTGGCTTATAATCGGAGCGGAGAAAACGCCGCAGGTGGATAACGTGTAGCCGTTCGTTTGTGACGTAACGACGTTTATGTACATCGTGCACGACGACGCTGTCTTTTCCACTTTTCTAATTTCTTCTCGCGGAAGCCCCTGCCGCGCGTGATGCAGCCGCGGCACGAAATGGAAAACGGTACACCGGCGGGCGTCGGCTTGTTAGAATGAGCCTACTATATTTACCTCGTAAAAATCACATGTTTAACAATGCTTCTAAGCCAAGATGTTCTGGAACAAATCGTGCGAGATATCCATTATGCAAATAAAAAATCTTAGATTATCCAAAGAAATCCTTCTAAAATCAAGGAAAAGCTATAAGACGCGCTCAATTATTTATATCTTTAATTCATATAATTATTATTATATAAAGGAAATTATTTGTAATTCTTTTAAAATATATCTGGTAAGCAAACTTTCTGAAAATGATTTATTTGCGGCATAAATTAAATTAAAATAATAATATAGCTTTAATGATCAAATACTAAATTAGTGTATTTTCAACTTTTTTGTGTTTAATATTAAAGTATGAAATATATTGATGCGTTATATATTATATATGATTATTGCATGTATAATGAATTCTATGGCTATTATATGCCTGTTATTTTTCCCTTCTAATAAATGTAAATTTATGAAGGAATGCGGAAACAAAATTAATAAGACCGCATTTGTTGCGAATGTTTGCCACGGTTGTGATTTTATTAAATATACATTCGATACGTCTATTTCAATCCTTATTTGTGCGTGCTGATATTTCAGTCTCGCAGTGCATATTCCAACGAGCGAAAGTAAATGATACTAGGAAATCGGGGAAAATAAAGTAATAGCGCAGCAAACTTTCGCAGTAATATTTTTCTTTCGATTATGTTCACAAATGATACAAAAAGAAAACAACTGTAACGTAAGTCTCCTCTTTACGAAGATTTATGCGCAATAGTATGCGTATGAATTGCTAAATAGCCACTATACCTTAAAACTAACAAGTATTATTTACAATATGAGAGTAGGCAACCGCCGCTTCGAGCCCATTACAGCAACAATGTAATTGCGATTAAATCACGAAATCATCGATTAAGCCATCTTTGTGCTAATGATTACAAAAACTTTTTTCAAAAATATGCAGTCAAATTATATTTTATAAAAAAGTATGAATTGTACGACGCTAGTACAAAATTACGAAATGTTTAAACTGTAATTTGAAATTTTATGTAAAAAACTATTAGACATTAAAGCAAACATTAGCAAGCAGAATCAATAGCAAGCAGAATCAATAGCTTTTAATAATTAAAAATTGTTATTGCGTTTGATTAATTCCAAACGAGTGTTGCTTGAACAAACATTTTTTCGTGGTAAAAATTTATCAAGGAAAAATTAGTTTTATTTGCATTAAAAAAATCTATAATTAAAAAAGAAATAACATACATAAGATATCTGATATATAATTATAAATGGCTGTGAAGCATCTCGATAAAAATGGCGTATACAACCGTTTTTTTCTCGGATTTGCTATATATTTCCGCGAGCTGAACAGTCGAGTCGCGGAACGCATTAAATACGAATCGATTCTCACACTTGTGACAGAGAATGCAAATAGAAAGTCTGGCGCGAATAGAATGTTGTCCTTACGAACGAGACCACGCCAATAAGAGCGTATTGCGGTTTCCCCGATGGTCGACTCATGGTGAACCCTACTCGCGGCAAGCTTGCAAAATTCCATGTTGCAAAAGGCCGAGTACACTTCCTACCGACATTAGCGTATCGGACATCGGAATTATTACCGAGTTAAAACGCGAGCGATACACACACATTTGCATCACGGAATTTCAAGATGTAATAAAATAAACTTTTCTTTTTTATTTTTATAATTTTAATTTTAAGATTTAATTTTAATAATCTATTGAAAAAAAATTAGAAAAGATTGTAAAATATTAAATTGAAACTTTTGTCGCGTCGCGTCATGAGATGTATTATTTCAGAAGAGAGATTCATACGCGATAATTATAAATCGAAAATTTAATTTTGAATTAATTTTTCAATTATAGGAAATGTATGTATCAAATAATGCTTGGTGGATTATATGATACAATAGTACAATAAGCAATATTGCACGTTTAATTGAAAATGTCTTGAAACATTGCATGAATGGATATGATTCGATTTGTTATCCTATCGCGTTTCATTCGCCTTTCGCGCGACCCGATCCTGTATTAGATCAACGTTTTGTAATCGAGTCGATTCGAACATTATTACGTTGCTTGGGCTTACGGGGTCGTGCTTAAAAAGATCCGCGGCTGCGCGACGAAGTGTTTCATTTGTATCCCGAAACCACCATGGATATCTTTATGACAGTACGGTGTTAGAGACCTGCGAGAAATTGCCACGGTAATACATCGTACATGCGTGCATGAGTATTGCGTCAGGTCGTTGGCTTTCACTCTCTCTCTAACGTGCCTCATAAACATTACACGATACTACAGACTGACGAGAAGTGCAAATCGGAAGAAATCTCGTTCCGCTTTAATTCTCGAGGTGCGCGAATAAATAAAATTTTACTATCTTTTAATGAAAACAAAATTATATCGACAAGTTGTCACGGAAACGGCATTGCAGGGCTCGTTTGAATATATCTATATTGTTGTTCAGTAAAGAACAAGATCTTCAATGAGATAATTCAACGGGAAAATTCTGAAAGATATACAAATACGATAAAGAAAGATCAAATTTTGTCACCGACTATCGTCGCGATTGACACTATTCATGAAATCGTACGCGCGCGGTTCCTCTATCCAGTATCACATACGTTAATCTCTCTAAGTTTCGTTCTCCGATTGCATATCGTCGATGAATAATATTATCTATCGTTCGCGCGTTGGCCGAGATGAGCGGATGTAGCGCATGAACGCTTCGAGACACGCGTTGGACGGAAAAAAGCGAAACGGATATGCTATATACATTATACACGGCTACCAAAGCGTGAAAGCGCTATCGAAAACAAGGTAATTTCGGAAAATTCCACGTTTCTTGCGAAAATTACGAGAAGATCGCGTTTGTAGTAATAAACTTGGAATAAGCTTCGCGGAAAACCCACGCGATCTCCTGCGATCTACGTGTGATAGTGACGTTAAATCCGCGACGTTTGCGCGTCGCAGAACTTTTCACCGCAACTATTACTTCTCGCGGAGCGCCCGATTATATCAAATATATTGCACACGCATTCCCCGCGTACAACGCATGCATCAAAGCGCTCGTTTGTGCCATTCACTCGAGCAATATACTTCATATATTTCAGCTTCAGCGCCGCCACACGTGAATATATATATATATATACTATGTATAAAATATATATATTGCATATACTTATATATAATACCCTTTATACGCATGGGCCAACATTACGATCTAGCAGCTCGAGATCCTCGGCGGTTTAGCGGTCGCAAGAGGTTCGAGATAATATCGAATGATAAATACCGACGATTCCAAGAATCCGAGAGTAAATTCTTAACGCTGCAATTTAGATCGTATCAATAATTATTAGCACCTCTACCTCGGAGAAACTGATCAATTTGACCTACTGAAAGGGACGCGGTGCTGGCGGAGGCCTTCAAAGGCGCCACGTAATAGAATGCCTGGGGTTCCCCCTGCGATTCCAATAATTGCAGTCTGTGCGATTGGAGCTGCTGCTGCTGCTGCTGCTGCTGCTGCCGCTGTTGCTGTTGCTGCTGTTGCTGCTGGCGACGTTGTTGCTGCGCGTAGAGCTGCTGGGACTGCTGAAACAGCTGCGCCTGCTGCTTCCTGTAGAGCACTTCCTGGGGCTGCGTCACCGCCGGAGTGGGCGCCGACTGGGCCTGCTTATAGACCGGGCTCTGCCGCTGAGCCTGCTGGTACTGTTGCAGTTGCTGCAGACCGACTAGGGACTGGGGCTGTGAGGCTACGAATGGTTGGAGTTTGTGACTGAGGCTAAAGTCACCCACAGTTTGGGGCAGTGTCTGATAAAGCTGGGTATTGTACTGACCGGTCGAGGGATCATACACGAGTTCCGACTGGTAGATGGGCTCGGCGGCGGTTGAGGTTGCAGCGGTGACCGTCGTCTGACCGGTCAGCTTAACTCTCGAGGAGGTTTGAGGCGAGGCTTGAGGGGCAGCCTGAGGTCTCGCGGTAGGGGTGGCAGAAACGTGCGAGCCGATCGTGTTCACGTAACGCTCGAGTTCGGCGGCAAAGTCGAGCTGGGGAGTGCTAGCGGCAGTCGTGGTGCGCAGAGGCGATACCGTGGGGTGAGTCTGGGCATAGAACAGATTGTCGGGACGCTCGGTGCTGCTAGGGGAGACATATTGCGCGGCCACTTGAGCGACGTGGGGCCGCGGGGTTATCGCGACCGATTGGGGCCTCTGCTGACGAGTCGCCGGCCGGCGAGTGGTCGCCTCGAGCGATTGATAGACGTTGGAGGCAACAGTGGACTGACCGCGGAGAATGGGCGATGGTGTGGTCTGATACTGCGCCGTTGGGGTGGAAGCTAGTCTATAAAAGGACGGGTTAGGGGACGGCGAGGACTCGTAAATAGCGGTGGAAGGTGTAATTTGCACCAGGGTGCTCGGTCTTCTGAAGGCCGAGGGTCGCAGTTGCGGTTTCAGATCTTCCTCGGTCAGTTCTTGGCTCGCGTCGTCATCGAGCTGATATTCCGTCTGAAATATCGTGGTAGGTGCGCGAGTGGTTGATGGCTGATACGTTGGTCTCACCGGGATGGTTCGTTGTACGGGTCTGACGACGGGATAATTCGCTGGTCCAGAAATTTCTTCCTCCTCTTTCTCTGGCACCTCTTCCTCCTCGTCCTTGGGCGCGTTTGGGTCGCAGGGATTACCCGAAACGTAGCTAAACTCTCTTTTGTTGCCGTCCGGGTCGATGTAGCCGTACTTTCCGCGCACGACGCAGTCGACGCCGCGAGTCTCCTCTTTGAAAGAACCATCGGCCGCCTCGTAGCCGAAGGTGAAAGACCCATCATCGTTGACCTTGTTGTAGTTTCTGATGGTCTGCACCGGCGGCGGCTTCGATGCGTGCAGTGCGTCCTTGGAGCGTGGCGAAGGAAGCGCGCGGGTACGCGGTTGATAGACTGCCACGCTGTCAAAATCATCTTCGGCGGCCTGGTTATCCTGTTCCTCGTAATAAGTTTGAGATTCCGTTCGAGGCCGGATCTGCACTCGTCGCGCTTCTGTTAAGGCGAGTAAACACGCCGGAATTACCTGGCAATAGAAAAGGATCTATTATAGTAGAAACAGGTTGAAATCGCGGGGATCATTAACATGTGTGTGATCATTAACATGTTGATACGACGTTACGCGTGTTGCGCACGAAAGAAAGTAGCCGGCGCTCTTGCCGGATTAAAGTTTTTAAAGAAATTTCGCAAAGTGAAAACGGGAAGCGAGATGAACGGTTTCGGTGAAAATCACTATTTGTACCTTTATGTATGTTCTGTTAAAAATAGAGAGAACATTAATCGGATCAATATATAAAGTATCTGCTTTCCAAAACTTTCCAATTTCTCTTATAAAGATTTTTCTGATATTGTATTCTATCATCGGTTTTAATTGTTGAAAGAAGACAATTACACATATATTCGAATCACTTTTAATGATATGAATTAACATAATATATTCATGTATAATGTAACTTCTGAACAAGAGAAATTTGCAAAGTATTGTGTGAGATAATGAAGAAATTGAAAATTCTGACATTTAATATTGGCATTCGTGTGCATCGAGAAACAATGGAAGCAGCGGCGTTAAGTAGAAATGGACGATACATGTCAGACGCTCGAATACTCTCGCGTGCCGACGCGATTCTTTGCCCGCGGCTAAGGGGGAAGGAGTTTTATCGCGTCACGCGATAGACGTAATCGGAGAATTGCTGAAACCACTAGAGACGGATTATGGATGCGGAGTCGGCCAGCCCCGGTTAGTCTGGTTTCCAGGCACGAAGCCGGATCTACATCACAGAGATACGCTTATAGGAAGCGAGAAGATGGAGTGGAGGAGAGAGCGTGTTTCGCGGATCGGTGAACGCTCGTATACGCGCGGCAAAATGTCTTATCGCTCGAACGCGACTGAACTCTCGGTTTCACGGCTGTTAAACGCGAACACGAATGGTTTACGGCAGGCGACAAGGTGGAGCCCGCTAGATTACATCTGAATTTTGCGCCGACTCCATAAATTTATTGCAAGAAATTTCGCCTCAAACCTAAATTTTGTAAACATGAATACTTCACGAATTTAATGGTCAATAAATTTTTCTGGGTCGAATCTGTAATTCGTACGCAAACATTTCATAAAATAAAAAATGAGCACAGTATAATACTTATATCTTTTTCCTAAATAAAGATATATTCTGCATTAGACATACTTTCTTAAACAAGGAAGGATTCTTTTCCTTATCGCTCTATGTACAAACTTATATTATCTAGCAAATTAATTATTTAAATAGTCTCTCTCTCGATATTTCTTAGCTTGACACTCTTCACTCGTCATATCTTACGCACGGTCGGAACGCTCACGCGTTTTTTCTCGCGAGGTTGACCGCGCGTCCTTACGGCTGACAAAACGTGGTCTCGACTTCCGGTAAGCCGGCTCTCGGTGAGAACCGCCTTGGCGCACATGTGTTACGTAATTTCTACTTCTCGGCTGACCCGAATACGGGGCGAGGCAGGCGGCCGGCGTGCCTACCGTGAGAGAGAAAGAGATTCAGATTCAGAGCGTCTAACCGCCTTGGGTTACGTAATTTCTACTTCTCGGCTGACCCGAATACGGGGCGAGGCAGGCGGCCGGCGTGCCTACCGTGAGAGAGAAAGAAGAGAAAGAG